CATCAGTTGGAATGCTGTATATGAATCCTAGCTATTCTTCAGCAGGGAAAGTGGTCAGATAGTCTGCTACTGAAATTGGTATTGGTAGTTTTGAATCCATGAGATAATCTCTAACTCCATACCCTAAAGATGCCCATAAAGTTGGGTTCTTCTTTTCCTCTGACACCTCTTCCGTGAACTATATTGGTAATATATTCTAAATGATTCAGAATCATTTTTTTCTTCCTTGGCCAATACTCCCCTTAAATTTCCCTGGTGGTATCTATTACTACTAGTGTTGATAATGAGAGTTAATAGCATTTGACTTACTAAATGCCTGATACTATTTTACATATTATATAGTCTTTTGTTTTACTGTAGATCAAATGTTCTTTTTTAAATTTTTTAAAAAATTTTTATTGTGTTATGTTAGTCACCATACAGTAGTACATCATTAGTTTTTGCTATAGTGTCCAATGGTTCATTAGTTGCATATAACACCCAGTGCTCATCACAACACGTGCCCTCCTTAATTCCCTTTATCTAGTTATCCCATCCTCCAACCCCTTCCCTCTGAAACCCTCAGTTTGTTTCCTGGTGCATAGTCTCTCATGGTTCATCTCTCTCTTTGATTTCTCCCCTTTTTGTTTTCACTCCCTTCCCCTATGGCCCTCTGTGCTATTACTTATGTTCCACATACAAGTGAAACCATATGATAATTGTCTTTCTCTGATTGACTTATTTCACTTAGCTTAATCCCCTCTAGTTCCATCCATGTCAATGCAAATGGTGTGTATTCATCCTTTCTGATGGCTGAATAATTTTCCATTGTGTATATGAACCACATCTTCTTTATCCATTCATCTTCTGAAGGGCATCTCGGCTCCTTCCACAGTTTGGCTATTGTGGACATTGTACTATGAACATTTGGGTGCACATGTGCCCCTTCTTTTCACTACATCTGTATCTTTTAAAGGAATGATTTTAGTAAAAGGCATAACTGTCTTTCACAGTTAGGTGTAAAATCTTGGAAAAGTGTAATCCAAATTACTCGGCCACCTTGATTCTTGCCTCTGCCTGTCAACACCCCAATAATAAAACAAAATAAATAAACCACTCCCTGTCAACATCCAGAAACATCAAAGAATATTGTAGATCTCTGTGGTAGTTTTTCCCTAGAGTTGGTCCAAGGGTTTTACTGACACATGACATAGAACACACCTTTATCCCTCTTTCTTGTTCTTCCAGACTGCTGAAGCCCATGCTTAGTGACCCTTGTTATCACATGGAAACTTTTCTTGTTTTCACATTCTGAATGTATTCTCTACAGGAGAATAGCTCTTGGAATTTTCATGAGCTATTTCATGAATAAAATTATCTGCCATGTTTTACTGGGGTATAGGAAGTTTAGGTACTATGGGATTTAAACTCAGGCCTGAGAACTCAGGAAATGTGGCCAAAGGATGTAACATTTCAGCTGAGTCTTGTAGGAAGAGGAAGAAGAATTTTCCAGGTAAAATAAGGAGTAGGAGGCAGTGGGTAAATGGGAGAGGGATGTATTGTTTGGTAAAGTCCCCTCTCCACTCAAAACTATGATATGTAAACCCCAAAGAGAATCTTTTTGGACCCTTTAGCCAAAGGCATTTTCCAGTGGAAGTTTCTCATTGAAAACTTTTTCATTTAGCATCTTTGGGCAAGAGGAAATGGTAAGGATTATTCTAAGCAGTCTACTTCTAGACTTACAATCCACTTAAAAATGTGTGCATCAGGGCGCCTGGGTGGCTCAGTGGGTTAAAGCCTCTGCCTTTGGCTCAGGTCATGATGCCAGGGTCCTGGGATCGAGCCCTGCATCGGGCTCTCTGCACAGCAGGGAGCCTGCTTCCTCCTCTCTCTCTCTGCCTGCCTCTCTGCCTACTTGTGATCTCTGTCTGTCAAATAAATAAATAGATAAATAATCTTTAAAAAAAAAATGTGTGCATCATACAGAGGAAAAATGACCTGAATCTTATGTTCTCATATCATTTTCAATTGGATACATTATTGTTAGTACTTTTCAGCTCGTTGTTGCTGTTTATCCAGTTGGTGTAGTCCAGTTTTTGTTTGTTTTGTTTTGTTTTGCTTTGATTTTACTTTCCTTTCTCCTTTCTGCTACTTTGGTCCACTCAGTCATGCATTCGGACTTCTACCAGAGAAAGAGAAAGAAATGAATCAGTTTTACTTTTTAGGTAACTGCTTTCTTAAATGTTTTGATGAGAAAGTTGGTGAAAAATATTGGACTGCTGGACAATGAGAGGCTTTTCAAGTCCTGGATTTCATTAATAACAACTCCCCTTTGTTGACAGAAGTATTTAGCATTCTGTATCTTATTGTTACATTACTAAAAAGGGTCATTTAAAATTCTTTCCTGTTAAACATCTCTGAGGATTAGGGAGGACCAAATGAACTTCTAAACCACTTGTTTTCTTTTCAAATTCTGTTTTGTTTTGTACTTTAGATTCAGAAAGAAAGCAGATAAGACTTTGAGTTCTTTGATAAAGGCACTGCTATCGTAAATTATTTCTATATACTTTCACCTTCTTAAAAATTTTTACGCTAGGGGCGCCTGGGTGGCTCAGTGGGTTAAAGCCTTTGCCTTCAGCTCAGGTCATTGTCTCAGGGTCTTGGGATCGAGCCCTGCATTGGGCTCTCTGCTCGGCAGGAAGCCTGCTTCCCTTCCTCTCTCTCTCTGCCTGCCTCTCTGCCCACTTGTGATCTCTCTCTGTCAAATAAATAAATAAAACCTTAAAAAAAAATTTTTTGTGTTAATATTGAAAATCGAGACACTGTAGCGTTACAGAGGCATTGCACGTTTACTCAGTTATGCCAGCTGGTGGATAGGAAGTGAGGGATGTAGTTCTAATACACTCAGTTTGAAGGATAGGTTTCCTTTGTGCACAAGAAGTTAACCTGATACCAAATGAAGCAAGACCTGTTCATTTTCTTTTTTTCTTTATAAGGAGTTCTGGTGTGCTGACACTTAAATATGTATTAATAGAGTAGAATGTGGTCTTTGGCTAGGGGTGGGGAACATACACACCAAAAATTGGTAAAGGACTTTGGTCCATATGTTTATTTTAAGTATTTAAGGAAGAATGAGAGAATGAGAAGCCAAAGCTGGTCAGATTATAACTAATGTAGTATTCAGAATGTTACATCAAATTAAACTATGATAGAAGAAGCTCTTTTATCTTTCCTCCATTTTATTTGTTCTTTTCTTACCTCTATACTCCAAATCGGGAAAAGAAAAATTACCATGATGTGTGTAACTTGATAGTGGATCTAATCAAATGGCTCCAAAGGATCAAAATAAAAATATATCCAAATTGAGAGGAGAGGATGTAGCAATGCTCAGAATTTCAGTGGAGAGGAAAGTGCTAAGCAGACAGTCAAAACACAGGAGGTTTTCCTGTATATATTTGTATTTATATGAAATTTTTATTTCTCTGGGCCTAAACATATAGGGCTTTGAAATTAGGACATACTAATTATAAACACATTCCCTAATTAATTGGTATTCTCCAATATTTTTCTTGATCAAATTAAGTTGATTATACATATACACATGTATAGATATATATATGGATATATGCAAACACATATGTATTATAGCCAGTTTTTCTTATATTTAGTATTAAAATTTATTTTTAGAGTTAATTTAACTAGCATATTCCTGTTTCTTGAATGGAAATAACTTTTTTAAAATAATAAAAACAGTATTATCTTTAGTTCCAAACATCTCAGAATATGGAAGAAAATTTATTCCTTTCAGTCTACTCATTTGAATCCAATTCCTTTTAAGAATACCTGTCATTCACAGATGATATGCTATCTTTTTAGGACCATGTTTCTCCTGAAAAAATAAACAGTAACCTTTCTACTAAAAAATACCTTTCTGTGTTTCTAAAACATTTTTAAAAATTCCAAAGGTATCAAATATCCATAGAAGATTGGAAGTGGACTCTTTGAATTTCCCATTGGGAAGTACATTTCTTCAGAAAAATATTTTCCTTAATTTTTTTTTTCTGAAAATCTACTCTTTTCTTTCTCTAAGGGTTAAGTGAATCAGTTTATGTAAAATGAGACTTGAACCATTACCAAGTATCAAACGAAACTTTCCCCTTTAGACTTGAAAAGTTTCATTTACACTAAGGAAATAAGTCTCCTTCTCTCTCTCTGTCTCTCTCTTTTTCATGGTTGGGGTGATGAGGTGTTCCCTGATTTGGATCAGTATGGTAAATTTAGGAATTGCAAGTACATTATATGTATTTGTTTACTTGTGTGCATGCATACATGCACACACACACACACTTGAAGTTTACCAAGATAGTTTGTACTACCACATGCTTTGGTATAAGCTGAGTGAACTTAAGGAGGAAGGGCATTACCTTTGTGATTATGGTCAGGCAGCACTGCTGAGATAACATGACTTCTAGAATACAGAACCTGTATACTAGGAATATCATGGACATAATTACACCTTTGAAGTGTTTTGAGAGGAGTGGTCATAATCAAGGGATTCACTTAAATTCTCCTAATACAGAGAGGGCACAAGTGAAATTGAAGCAAATTTTAAACTCTACTGTGGGGTCATTACTAATGTAAAGGTAAAGATGGTTTTCTAGGAAACCTAAAGTTTTAGAATATCTGACTTTTGAGAAATAAGCTCAGTATTTTACATATGCCTTAATACAGAGTAACTCTTTTTTTTTCAGAGGTGTTGAGAAACCACCCTGATAGCTACCCACATTTGGCATCAGTAAAATCTTTAAAGATAAATAGTATATGAATTCTGTGTTGTGTTTTTTATTATAAAGATTAATTTTCAAATTTGTATTTGTTTTATACCTTTCAACCATTTGTAGTCAATTCAAATGTCTGAGTCCATTTCTACTTTTCCTTACTGGTTTGTTGCTAGGTAAGTGATAAAGCTGGTTGTCATTTTTAACAGCCACATGAGGTCATGTCTGTTTCCATGCCAACAGATCCTCTTGGGAGAGTATTTTCAGTAAAAGCCCAGAGGTGGTGACTCCTTTGCAGCTCCAATGTTGCCAGCGCCTGGTTGAACTTTGTAAACAGTGCCTGCTAGTGGTTTACAAATATGCAACTGACTCAAGAGGATCAGTCTCAGGCATTGGTACTGATTGGGGTAATTCCAGGTACTTGTTCACATTTCTACACCCTGTGAGTTTTATATAAAGTAATGCCACAGTGCAGTTTGAAATTGAAAGTCTCTTTTTGTTTATATAGCTATAGAAAAAGCTAAAGACCGAAAATTCATACATGCTCTTATCTACAAAAGACTTCTAATTTGCACCATCTTTACTTTTAAAGGACCGAACAAGGACAGCAACCACAAACCTGAAGGTGACAGAAATAACCTACTTGAAAATAAGATTATTTGGCTTATATAATTTTGCTTTCAAATGCCAAGGAAAAACATCCAAACATAAACTTGACTGTTTTCACCAATAGGGAGATTTCAAATTTATCCTTCAGCCTGAAAAGTTGAGAAGATGCCTTTAGTTTAATCTTTATTCCCTTCATCATGACACACATCTATGGGAGTTGAGTTTCATTAAGTTCCATTTAAAAATTGAATTTTAATAAATTCTGTCATTAAAATAGGTAGTTTAACAAATCATGAGAAATAATATTGTTTTTAAGCTGCAGAAAATACACAGATTGAAAAAATAGTACATTATACCATTTCTCTGTATAATCCATAGTGCCCATTAGAATTAAAGATGAACATGTGACTTTATTTTTAACAGGTATAAGTTACAGTACTACTCTGGATAGAAGAGAATGAACTATGACTTTGAAAAACTAAGTGATAGTCAAATGATGATAGCATTCAACTAACAGTTGAATAAGCGATGAGGAAAATGAAACACCATAGCCGGGATTGTCTTTTGAAACACCTAGAAATTGATCTACTTATTAAAGAGATCATAGAAAATAGTTAATAAAGCTAACTTTTTAAAAATGACCTGCAACAGCAGAATGGCTTGGAGTATATTTCACAAAAAGTGTTGAAAGATATACTTTAATCTTTGTTTGTCTTGGATTCTGACATTATACTTTGTCATACCTTTAACTGATTTTAACTCTCCCCCTATAAATCATTCAGCAGTGATCACAACAATGAGAGAGGTAAAACTAGCCATTAGTATTTGAGATATGTAAATATCAAAACAATATTCTACAGTTTAATGATTTGACTGAAGCAAATTATTGAAATAAAACATTATTTTCATTAATGTTTTTGTATGATTTAAAAGAATGGTGGTCATCATTAAGACATTACAACATATAAATGAAGAGGCTTCACTTTAAGGAGTGATGATCAGGAAAATATTAAGTTCCAGTCTAGGAAGGATGGTTTCAAACTCTTTAATGTCACTCTTGCAATTATAGATTTTGTAACACATTTTCTATTGAGGGCTCTTATAACTTTAGTGGGTAGGCAAAATAGAATGAGGTCACTCTGGAGGGAGAAGTTATACCTTACAATTGTGTCAGGCCTTTTTATTTTCTTCCCTTTCTGGTGGTCAGTAGAGATATTCCTATTCTGGAATCTTGAGTTCTGAACTTCTGTTAAATACTCAGTATAACCCCAATATGACGATTGTAAGAATTCTGGGTGAAGAGGGGTTAGTAAAACATACCCTTTATTCCCACCCAAGTTCAGAACCATTTGAGAGAGAGAGAAATGTAGGAATCAGACAGACGATCATCAGAATGTAGCTTCGTTACTGAGTAAAGCTGCACTGAGGGACTATGGTGTAGATGTGAGCCAAGTAAGTTCTCTAAAATTGAGTTCTAGAATTAAATGTACTGATCCAGTGATGGGCAGATCTAGATCAACCCAAACGTTCCACTAATACTACCCCATAAAGTCTAGTTCTGTTAGTGTTGGCTAGTGAGCAAGTAAGGATGCCTCCTTTTTGCAGATAGGCTGATCCAACAAGAGAAAGGGACTGAGCCAGGCATACCTGCTTCCTTCTTTTAAACCTGAAAATCAGATAACTTACTTCTGGTAAAAGGCCAGAAATTTGGTGGAAATTCTTCTACTTGAAACACAAGGAGGAGAGAGAAATAAACACATCCTCCTCATACCTAGCTATTAAAACCCAAGTTGATGTCACATTAATTTAAAAACATGTGAAAACTGGCCATATTTTCTTCCCTTATCAATTAGGAACCTATAGCTTTTTACTTTACATGTAGAAGTCACTTAATTTGATATTTATTAATAGATAAATTTCTTTTATGAAGTATACCTAATAAAGTATATATTAATATTTATAAATTAATATATATGCCTAATATAAATAATATATGATGTATACCTAAACACTTTATGAGGAGATATATATTTAGGTAATTTATCTGTAAAATTTAAAGAGAAGAAAATAGAGATAACATCAGTCAGGTTTATGGACCATATTTATCTTGATGAAAGATCTGCATGTTCTTTCGAAAGAGACTTTAAAGTGTGCATGTCACCCATTCCATGGAACAAAGACTTGAATCTTTAAGTCTTATAAAAATAACAACTTAATAGGCATACCAAGTGGAAAGCCATTTCTCAGAGGTACACTCCTAACTAAGCAAATAGAACTGATATATAAGCTCAGATATCTATCTATCTATCTCCAGGAAACTAAAGTTCTTGGGACCAGCTCAATATTTTACTGTAACTACACTTACTTGGGAAGCTTTGGGATCTCCAAATACTTTCTATCATCAACATCTCTGTGTTTCTATATTTCATGAACTTCCATGTAAGCTCATTTCATAAGGGGTGTCATGGTTAAAAATATTTTTAAAAACCACTGAGTGCAGACTTTTGCCTTTGGTAACAGAGCACTAGGTTTTTGGACAAATCCTCCCTTTAATGACAACTAGAAAAGCTAGACAAAGTACGAAAACCTTACTTGAAGACGTTGGAGAGGTAACCAGGTTCTAGATGAGTGCTTGTTAGTACTTAGTAACACTTTTGATAGATCATGGCCTAATGGAAAAAGTAGGAGTTCAAGGCCTGCCAAAGGTGGGAATATTGGTGAACATCCTAGATTCCTAGGAGTAACAGTGTTCCCAATGTTTTGCAAGGCAAAAGTTAACAGAATTACAAGGAAAAATAGACAAATCTACAACCATAGATGGAGATTTTGAGATTGGTTGATCTATCTATAGATATGTTTTTTCTACATTTGTATGTATATGTATATTTCAACATATAAATGTATTTTTTAAAAATTAAAGATATAGACCATGTTAACAATGTAACTAAAAGACCTAACTATCATATATAGAAGCCAATCCAATAATCTCAGAATATGAAACACCAAGTACACCAGGAACTTTTATAAAAGTCAATCATAAAGTAAAATAATTAAGCATATTTTAACAAGTTTCAGAAGACTTAAATCATACAGAGGTTTTTTTTTTTTTTTTTTTTTCCTGATCCCATGCCATTAAGCTATAAAACAAAGGCAAAAATTAAAATTGAAATATCCATACTTTGGAAGGATAAAAAAAATACTTTTAATTACCTCATGAATCAAAGAAATCATAATGGATATACAAAAGTATTTTGAACTGGATGATAACACACAGAAAATTGTAATATGTAGACAAATAATTATTATAGGCATATTTATAGACTTACATGAACACATTAGGCAAAAGGAAAGGCAAAAATTAAATGACATCAGCAATGATTTTGAAAAGTGACAAAATGACATTAAAATAAACCCAAAGAATGTAGAGAAAGGGAATAAAAATGACAGCAGAAATTAATAATATAATGAAACAAATAGCATAAAGAAGATCAACATGGCCAAAATATGTCTTTGGAAAGACTAATATGAAAGGAAAGAGTTAACATCAAGAACAAAGATCGAGACATCACTACAGATCCTACAAGCATTGAAAATTTTATAAGAAAATATGAACAATTTCATGCTGATTTGGTAATTTAGATTAACAAATTCTTGGAAAAACATATATTACCAAAAATGACAAAATTTCTTGTTAGAAAGTCCTATATAAAAAATAGTAAATAGTCTTACTATTGAAGAAATTGGATCAGTAATTAAAATCCCTCTCACAAAGATAATTCCAGATTCACAGGTCTTCACTATCCAATTCTATTAAACCCATCCAGAGAACGGAAAAGGAGAGGACATTCTGCACCTTGTTTAATGAAACTCCCATACCATTGATTCTAAAACCTAACCAAAACATTATGTCAAAGGATAGTGAAAGTTCAGTGTTACTCCTGAGCATAGATGCAAAAGTCTTAAATAAAATGCCAGCAAAATGAACTCAGGAACTTTAAATTGGATAATGTATCCATGACCAATTTCTGTTTATTGCATCACTTTAAGGGTGAAATAACATTAAAAAGTGATCAGTGTGATTTTAATAGAATAAAAGATCATTTCAAAAGATACAGCTAAATCATTTGATAGAATTCAGTATATGTGATTTTAAAAAAATGTGTAGCAAGCTAGAAACAAAAGGGAAATTCCTTAATCTGATGAAGAATAACTACAAAACTTATAAAACCTTACTTAAGGATGAAATGTTGAAGGCTTTCCTTCTCAGATGAGGAATAAGACAAGATTGCCTCTTATTATAACTTCTATTTAACATTGTAGTAGAGGTTCTAGTTGGTTCAGTAAGTCAAGCAAAAGAAATAAAAAGCACTAAACTGAACTCTTTACTAATGGATATGAATCTGTTTGTAGAAATCAAAATAAATCTACAGATAAATTATTAAGTAAATTTAACAAGTTTAGTGAAATCAAAGTAAAGATAAGAAAATCGATTGTATTTTTCCAATATCAGCAACAAACAGCAAGAGTATGAAATTTTAGGTATGATATTTTCAGTTGTAGAAAGAATAATTAATACTTAGTAATAAATGTAACAAAAATGTACAAGAATTTTATTTAGCAAAATGTAAAAAATGGGAAGATATACCTTATTCATCATAGGATCGATATAATCAAATGTCAGCTTGTAAATAGTTCTGAACATTTCCAAATTCAATGTAGTCATAATATAAATCTCAACAAATTTTTTGGAGGAGGCAGTCTTTGACCAAAGCTTGTTTTAACATTTATACAGAAAAACAAAGGGCCAA